GTAAACCCTTCTACTTCCCAGATTTTCTTCTGCATATGGCGAAACAGAGCCGTATTTTTTTTGTTGAATAGCTTTGCAAATTTTCAAAGCACATTTCATAGAGTCAAAGAGGGTTGTATTGCTGATATTTCTTTTCTCTTGGCTTTTGCTATATTTTAGACTTCCTTACTTTAGAGCTTTCCACGTGGTTCGCCCGACAGATTCACTGCATTCCGAGGGCGTAGTTTGTACATCCCGGAAGTACAGCATAAAGATCGTCCTAACGGTGATTTGCATAGCTGACGAAGACTATTCCCCTTCATCTTTCACCGCCGTAGCTGCGGATAATGGTGATGGCAATCCCACTTCTCTTCCCATTACTTCTGAAGCAGGAATCGCGCAGCTCGACGATGACGTTACTGTCACCACCACTGACTCCGCCTCTGTAGGAGGCAGGACTAGCATTTGTCATGGAGACGACAGTGATCAATGCAGACGTCCGCAGATGTACACATCTGAATTGAAGACCCTTCGAATGGTGGAGAATGCACCTTACGAATTGCTTCGTCTTCCAGACGACTTTCTGTTCCCTGTTGTAGTGTCGGCCAACATTCTCAGATATGATCCCTGAGCACTCTAATTTCCTCTGCCGTGTGGGTGCGCATGTGTGCATGGTTGCGTGTGGCATTGTGTTCTTTTTGTGATCTCCTCTTTGTCCACTTGTCAATTTTCTTATCTCCGCCTGTCTATTCAGTGCGCCCAATAGAACACGTTGATTTCAACTTTTTTATAAGATAAACTGATTTTATGTCAAAAATTTGCTTTTTTATTGTTTAGAGGCAGGTGTTTGTGAAAGATATTCGTTTTAAGATGTGTTTAAATTCTGCAAGAACTTGTTGCGCTGTTACGCAGACAAAATGTGACCCGAGGCTTGTCGCGATTTGGGTCGCGAAGTCTGAATGTGCGTTGGATTTTTTGGTATGACACACTTTGTTGAACCTTCTCCTTGTCTGAACTCTTGTGGCGTAGATTGTCTTTCAGCCTCATGGATGCGATTTGAATGCACTGAATCTGTAAATGTGGTCTCCGTTTTACAAAGATCCGATAGCAAAAGCGAACTAAAGTGTTTAGTTTGGGAATTGTGCTGTCGTGCTCCGCAGGAGTCCATGCATGAGCTTAAAAGAAATGCATTTTGTCTTACAGGGACACCTTTGAATGTTACCTGGCGGAAGTAATGAAGTAGTTGGCTTGTATTCAGTAACCTGGAAATATTGTGGCTAGTCTCGCTCCCAAGATAGGCTTTTCAAAATCAGGAACAATTAGAAGATTTAATGTCGCTTTTCACGCGCTCATGGTGGTATGAGCAGCAGGATGAACTTTCGATCGCTGTACCAGTCCCTGACGTATCAATGTTAAATGCGTCTCTGCTTCCCAATGCTGAGATTCCCGCGTCCATCAAACTAAAGAACTCGGCACAACTTATTGTACGCGCTTGAATTCCCTACCAAGTGT